AAACAGAGAGAGTAGGAAATCCGCAATCAGCTGAACAGAGGCTTCGAATGGATCAACCTCCCTGCCGACACACCAATCACAGAAGATCTTCCATCTGGACTGGTAGACGGCAGAAGAGGAAGCCCTGATAGATCGCGCGATGCGATCTGACACCTCTCGAGAAAAGCCTGCCTTGGCGAGGCTTCCAGAGATAGCCTCCACGCGTGAAGGTGGAGGATCTCTGGTCGAGAGTGTGTCGTCCTGGACCGAGGCTGACTCAGGAGATTCGGTCTGGTGGGGAGAGCCAGTGGCTCCTCCACCAGAAACGACAAGAGCTCCGGAAACCAAGGCTGCCTCGGCCACAGGGGGGCTATCAGAATTAAGGAGCAGTGATGCTCCCTGAACTTCTGAAGCACCCTGCCCACCAGGTTGAAGGGAGGGAATGCATAAGCATGCATCCCGTCCCAGTCCAGAGAAAGGGCGTCCACAGCCCAAGCCTTCGGATCTGGGACCGGAGAGACGAAGGTTGGCAGCTGATTGTTCAGAGAAGTGGCAAACAGATCTATCAAAGGTCTGTCCCACACCTGACAAATTCCCCGGAAGACCGAGGGACACAGCTGCCATTCCGTCAACACCGGTTGGCGGCGTCTGGAGAGGGTATCCGCCAACACATTCAACCTGCCCGGAAGATGCTTGACCGTAATGGACAATTGCATCTCCTGACAGAGAAGAAGGATGCGGATGGAGAGGGCACACAGGACGTGAGACCTGGTGCCCCCTTGTCTCTCCAGATACGCGACAACTGTAGAGTTGTCTGTAGCCACACAAATCGCCTTGGACTGCAGGAATCCCCGAAAGGATTGCAGTGCCAAAAGAACTGCCCTCATCTCGAGCACGTTGATGTGCTCCGAGAGCTGATCCCCAGACCACTCCCCCGAGCGACAATGGCCGTCGAGGTAAGCTCCCCATCCTGTCATGGAAGCATCCGTGAACAGGGTCATAGAGGGGACAGGCTTGGTCAGAGGAACCCCGCGGAGAACATTCTCCCGAATGGTCCACCAGCGAGCGAACTCCCTGACCGACTGAGTGAGAGTTATCCAGGCCTCCCACTTCCTGGATGACGGAACCCAGTTGGACAGGAGGAACATCTGGAGAGGTCTGATGTGAAGTCTCCCTAGGGGGACCACATCTGCCAGGGCGTTGAGATACCCCAGAAAACTGAGGAACCAACGTACCTGGACCTGCGACCGTTCGATGAAGGACAGAGCTAGAGCCCTGGCCTTCTCGAACTTCTCCACCGGTGGTAGGGCTATGCCCAGAACCGTATCGAAACGATTCCCCAGGAAGACAAAGTCCTGAGATGGGGAAACCTCTGACTTCTCTCTGGAAGGAATGAAGCCGACTTTGAGTAAGACTTTCAGGACCAGCCTGGTATCCTTCACTAACGATTCCCTCACCCTGTGAAGCATGAGGGAGTCGTCGAAATAGATGTGGACGTCTATTCCGCGAGAGTGAAGGAATCCCACGACTACCTGCAGCAGCTTGGTGAACACCAAGGGAGCTGTCGTCAGCCCGAAGGGCATGGCCCGGAATTGGAAGACCTTGCCGTTGCACGTGAAACGGAGGAACTTCCGTGCCGACTTCTTGATGGGGATATGGAAATAGGCGTCCTTCAGATCTACTGAAGTTGCCCACATCCCTTCCCTCACGGAGGCCATGATGCCCCGTGGGGTCTCCATCTTGAAGTGAGGAGAATCTACGTGCCTGTTGAAGGCACTGAGATCTATGATCGGGCGCCACTCTCCGGACTTCTTCCGAACGAGAAACATTCGGGAGTAGAAGCCGGGAGTGATTTCCGACATAGGAATCTCCTCTACCGCGCCCTTGGCAAGCAAGGTCCTTACTTCCTCCTGGATCGCCCGAGCCTTCTCCAAATCCCCTGGAGGAGGAAAGAAGATCGGCTGGGCGGTAAGAGGCGGATCCTGAAGAAGGGGAATACCTAGACCCTCCTTGACCACCGACAACGTCCACACGTCCTCCGTAATTTCCTGCCACTGGGATAGGAAAGCGGAGAGACGCCCGCCCACAGGAAGCTCTGGCTGGGGCAGATCGAGTCCCTGCCAAAACAGAGAATCGTCCGCCCATCCGGAGCCTGAGCCTGCGGGAGAAGGACAAGAGACCTGAACGGGAGGACCGCCGTCCACCCCGCCAGACCCCTGTTCTGTCTCGGTCAAGGAGAAGAAAGAGTCAGGAACCCTTCTTCTTGCCCCCAGGAGGTTTCTTACCTTTCTTACCTTTCCCCTTATTGCCCTTGAAGTGTGGCTGCGATTTGGGTTGGGCAGACGCCTGCCCAGCCGAAAACTTAGCCCTCTTCTTGGGAGGCGCTGACCCCTGCGAGGTGCTGGCCTTCTCGGAACGAAACCTCTTCACCAAGAGTGCTGAGGCGACCGAGTCCTCCTTCATATCCTTCTGGACAGAAGGAAGAGCTCCCCCGAACAGGGTAGAGCCAGTGAAGGGGGCAGTCAATAGACGGGAAAGATAAGGTTCTTCGACTGGGTGATTTTTTAAAATAGAAAATCGCCTAGCCAACACGACATTGGCGAGCAGGGAGACCTGTAAGGCCGCCGATGCCCTCAACGCCGCGTTCAGGGCAGCTGTAAGCCTGTCCTGAATGTCGGCCTGTTCCGTCTCTGGTACCCGACCCTCAGGCAAGTCGGATACCTTATATAGACTCACAGTCAGGAAGTCTATGTAAGACAGAACTTGGATGGAAAGGCGCAACATCCTCTCCATCCTGTGGTGCTCTCTAGCATCGAACACCACCTGGTCCACCGATTTGCCGGGCCAGGCAGCCAGCTCCCTCGACTCCAGCTTTGCTGGTTGAGGGGCCAGTTGCCCGTCATGTGTAGCGTAGTCAGCGGTAGAAGCCTCTGACAAATCGCCAACACCGAGCTGCAGACCGGCAAACCCGGGGGTGCGGGTAGATGAAGAATTCTTCTCCAAAACCCGTGCCCGGGCAGTGGCCAGAGCCGAAGACACTATGGTGCCTTCTGGCAGAGTCCGATCAGTACGAACGGAAGCCCGAGGAGCCACCAAAGAACCTAGAAGGGTGGTGGACTCGGGCACCGACGATGCAGAAGGGGGTGGGCATACCTCCGCTCCGAGAATCCGAGAAATGTCGGCCCGTAGGGCCCGCATCCCCGAAAGAACATGCTGAGCCTCGGTTTCAGCAATCTCGGAGCCCCCTACCTCCTGGGAACCCTCCTGGTCGGAAGGGTCATCTGCCGATGACTCGGACGGATCAATCGCCGAGCACCCAGGAGACAGATGGATAACATCGTCATCCTCTGCCAAGCCCACGCCCTCAGCGTCCATCTCCTCCTCGCTAAAGACCGAAGTCGCCCTGGGAGGAACAGGGGCCGCCAGAGGAGACCTCTCCGGAGAGCGGGACTCCTCTATACGGCGTTTAGACGTAGAACGTCTAACAGCCGAAGCTGTAGGCTTAGAAGCCAACCCCTGAGGACAGGAGACCGACGAGTCCGCGCGGGAGGCGGAAGTCCTAAAGGTCCGGCGAACCTTTTTAGGACCGGCCAAAACGGCCCCCGAAGTAGCAGAGCGTTGGGGGGATTCAGCACTGCTAAAACGTCTCCTAGAGGGAGAGACCATACCCCAAGGGTTCCATGAAGGAAGACCCATGGGGTTGAACCCAAACCCCTGAGGGAATGGGAACAGTCCCACGGGCTGGGAGTGACCCCAGAACTGGCCAAATTGGCCTGCCTGAGCCTGGGGCTGGACACCCTGTCCAAAGGACCAGGATGAACCTCCACTCCCACCAGGTGGAAACCCAGCCATGTACGGGCCGAGCCCGTAACAGCTGGGTAAATGTTGGTACCCATGACCATCCGCAGGTTGGCCTGGGCGGCCCGGGATTGAGTGCCCGCAGGCACCCCTACACCCCGAGCCCGGGGGAAAATGCGACCGGAAACCGGAAGCCTGACCTGGGGCCCCAAATCCCTGGGGGAAACCCCCTGGGAAACCCTGCACCGGAAAATCTGGACTAGAGCGAAAAGCCCCAGATCCAGAGACCTGTGAGGGTAGGAACCCAGGCCCCGCACTGACACTAGGATTAGTGAACTCAGTGTCACTAATCCCCGTAGCCACTGACAACCCTGACAAAAAATCAGTGACCCCTGACCCCATACCCGAGGGTACCGGTCCGGCTTCAGGGCGGCCCCCACCAACGACGCCACCTGGCGTGCCGAGGTCCCTGAAAGACTCAGAGACCTGTGACCGGAAGTCCCTTTCCGACGGTAGCACCGCCGGCTGTCGAGAGCTACCGGCCGATTCGACCCTAGACTTCGCCGAGTCAGGGTCGGGTTGCTCCCCCCCTATACCAGGACGCGCCTGGACAGGGGGAGCCACCCCCTGCTCGAGGGCGGAGCTCAGTGTGAGAACACCCCCAGCAGTGACAACCTCACCCCTCGGCTCAGGGCCGGGGGTAGAAAACCTGGATGGCTTACCCCTCTTACCGGAAGATGAGGACGAATCCCTCTTCCGGCGAGAAGTTCGCCGACTGGGTAGGGGAACCTTTACAGCGGACCCGGCGTGCAAACAAAGTTCGCACGGCGAGGCCTCGCTGCAAGGCCGGCATAAGGGACAGGCATCATGGGGGTTCTGCTCTCCGTAGAAGTGAGAACACCCATGTGCTGAACCACGACGCAGTCCTGAATCCATAATTGTTACGAAATAAATAATCAAATAACAACAGTTATTAATACAAATAAACGTAACAAAAATAAATGGAGTGAAAAAACACAACTCCAACAAACAAATACGAACGAAAGCAAAAGCTAACGAAACGTAAAAAAGCAAAGCAAAATATACGGTCGAATAATTAATACGACCGATAAAAAGCGAAAAAACTTCACGAAAAAACCGAACAGCGCAATAACACGTGGATACGCGCTCGGTGCGTGGAGTATAGCAAATGGCCGAACAAAGGCCGAACAAAAGCCGGCCGATTAAGGCCTAAAAGCAGGATATATTAACTAAATAAACGTCTGCAAAAGACTGTTATAGTTAACGATGGGTTTAAAGCAATAAACCGATATATAAATACTCGGCTATAAGCTAGACTTAAGCTAAAAAGAAAAGGAAGGCACTCAGCTGAATATAGCACGTCCGCCCGCTCCGGTAGCCATAAAGATAAGAGGGAGGGAAATAACTCTATGTTCATGACGTGAAGGCTCATGGTTGTAGGGAGGGCGGGATTTTTGAATCATACTAAAGTTATGGTAATTATTACTGAAATGAAATGCATATTTTTAACAGTAACAGATGTTGTTCTGTCAGTGATTTTAAGGAATTGAACTCACCCTTTGATTTCACTGTAAATGGCAGTGTCCACTACATATGTTGGCAGCATGTGGAATATAAGTAAGAGCAGTGCCAAGAAACCTTGACCTTGAACCAGCCAGAGTTCAAGGACTGCTGGAATAGTCGCCCAGTATGTCCCAAGGAAAGGTACAGCAGCAAACATGGCAGCCATTACTGGTAAATATCAAATCATTTCAATCATACCCGTCATATACACCAGTCACATAGCTATACCTATCAACTCATTGTCATAAGTTATGTGACAACATGACTATTAATGTCAATAAACTAGGGCCATTCACAGATATCAACTCTGCACTACCAGCATTCACTCAGGTTTTAGATATCAATGTATTATATACCTGATAGCAAATTACAGAAATTCTTTTAAAATAGAACATTTTTATGTTTAGCATTGCTCCTCTCACCAGATAGATAATATACCCTTGACTGAAATAATTCTATAGAATATACCCTTGACTGAAATAATTCTATAGAATATACCCTTGACTGAAATAATTCTATAGAATATACCCTTGACTGAAAAATAATTGACTGAAATAATAGAATATACCCTTGACTGAAATAATTTACAGAATATATAGAAATAAATATATACCTTGACTGAAATAATTCTATAGAATATACCCTTGACTGAAATAATTCTATAGAATATACCCTTGACTGAAATAATTCTATAGAATATACCCTTGACTGAAATAATTCTATAGAATATACCCTTGACTGAAATAAATTTTATAAAACATACTCGACTGAAATAATTCTATAAAACATACCCCTAACTGAAATAATTTTATAAAATAAATTCCATACTTCTTTATTATTATTGTGAGACTTATTTCAGGAATCTTAGGCCTCTGGATCTAATTTTCATATTAAATGTTTTCTATTTCAATGTAGTTGAAACTCTTGCTACTTAATCTGCCAACCACTAAAACATCTGAATGACTATGACTGTAGAAAGCAGAATGTATTTTCCACAATCTTTTCCTCACTGCTGACATGAGTTCGGCCAATACCAAGCAAAGAATATAATAAGGATGTCCTAAATGCTGTACTGTATTGATTCTGGACTGGTTTTGTGAAAGTAAATGCTTGAGTTAAGACATGTTTTACATACCTGAAGGAATGAACACAATATTGACTCCAAACCAGGTGTGGGTCATCCAGGTGTAAAATCCGTAAAATGCTGCCATCTTCAGAGAGGCCATGAACACACCACTGTTGATACAAAGTCGACATAATAAAAAAAATACCATAATACTAAAACATTATCACTCCATCAATATTAACAAACTGTAGCATGCAGTTAGCTGAAGAGTACATTCAGACAATTTTTACTCATCACAGCAGAAAACTGATGTTTAGCTTTGTTACTTTGATTAACAATATTTATCGGGAGGCAAGATCATGCTGAGAAATAAGTCATTCTTACAGTTTCAGAAATTATAAAAAAAAAACCTCCACTGTCTCATCTTATTCTTCTGTTCTAAATTTACTTAGGGCTTCTCTCATTATGGAGTTCACAAGATATCCTGTACACAAGCTACTTATTTCAAAAGTAGTCAACAGTGACCTTTGACCTATAAATTTGATTGATGATCACCAAAATCTAAGGAGGTGTAGACCTCAGTAGGGTGATAATATGGTGTAAATATGAACTAAATATGTTTATGATATATCTTGTACACAAGGTTATCATGGACACATGTAAGCATTGACCAAACTACTAATAAATACTCTCCCTCCTCCCCTTATCTTCAAATTTCTTAGAAATTATGTGTTAGCTTCCTAAATTTATTGCAGAGTAGAAATAAAATATGCATCAGCTCACGTGATTGCCTCCTCAACAGCCTGGCCAATGACACTGGTTCCCTGTGTAGGACTAAGGTTACTGAACAACTCCAGAGGCTTGTACTGGTTACCACTGGTAGCCAACAAGTAGAACAGGGTGGTCAGGAAGATCACCTGGATTATAGGGAAACATAGGTAATCAATAGGGAAACATAGGTAATCAATATGGAAACATAGGTAATCAATAGAGAAACATAGGTAATCAATAGGGAAACATAGGTAATCAATAGGGAAACATAGGTAATCAATAGGGAAACATAGGTAATCAATAGGGAAACATAGGTAATCAATAGTGAAACATAGGTAATCAATAGAGAAACATAGGGAAACATAGGTAATCAATAGGGAAACATAGGGAAACATAGGTAATCAATAGGGAAACATAGGGAAAAATAGGTAATCAATAGTGAAACATAGGTAATCAATAGGGAAACATAGGTAATCAATAGGGAAACATAGGGAAACATAGGGAAACATAGGTAATCAATAGGTAATCAATAGTGAAACATAGGTTATCAATAGGGAAACATAGGTAATCAATATAGGGAAACATAGGAAACATAGGTAATCAATAGGGAAACAGAGGTAATCAATAGGGAAACATAGGGAAACATAGGTAATCAATAGAGAAACATAGGTAATCAATAGGGAAACATAGGTAATCAATAGTGAAACATAGGTAATCAATAGTGAAACATAGGTAATCAATAGGGAAACATAGGTAAACAATAGGGAAACATAGGTAATCAATAGGGAAACATAGGTAATCAATAGGGAAACATAGGTAATCAATAATGAAACATAGGTAATCAATAGGGAAACATAGGTAATCAATAGTGAAACGTAGGTAATCAATAGTGAAACATAGGTAATCAATAGGGAAACATAGGTAATCAATAGGGAAACGTAGGTAATCAATAGAGAAACAAAGGTAATCAATTAACATATAACCATTATAGTAGCTGGTGGTTATCTCACTGAACAATATACAAGATGCCTGTCACATGTTATACACGAAGTACTCAAGGCCACTACCACGACAGATCAGTCCTTTTCTCACCTTCCTGAGAAACACAAACTACCAAAGGTAGAGAGTGTCAAAGTATGCACCTCTTATCCTCACCTGTGGGTATGTAGGCCACAGCAAATACACAATAAAAATGTCTATACACAATGTATATAATGTAGATATTTATGCCTTTCCATACACAGGTGTAGTCAAATATATTTGAACTGATGAAATAACACAAGATCAAATACTTTGTACAAGTACTGAGGAACACAGACATAAAGCATCAATTTTATTACATGATTATGAAAAACTCAACTTGCTTCATTGAATGTTTCGTCACTTAATTCAACATAAGGTAATAAGTGAAAGCTTAAAATTCTTTTAAAACCTTTTTGTTATTTTTAATATGACATCCCTTATGACATTACAATTATTGACACATCATAGTGCTATAAAATTTAATATTGTATCACATAACAATATAGCATTTTCTCATGGAAAAAAAGGAAAGAAGAGAAAGTAACTGATTCCTAAATAAAGGGTAAGCACAGTGTGTAATGAAATCAATTAACACATTACAGATAAAACTTTATATAATCAACATGTTATATCTATTTACAGGATTTAAGATTCCCACAGCAGCCAGAGTCTTACAGAGACACATTACATATCACAATCATACTATATGTTTAACAATAAATCATTATAGTCAGTGCTTTGATATTCTCTACTCATTGTATCAGTAAAGCTTGTAAATATGAAAGGTCAGTGAATGTGATTTACACTGCTCCAGTAGCTACATAGTGAAGCTCCCTAACACAGCACAGGCATGATCACTATGGTGACTGGTGGAGAGAAATAGTTACTCAATGAGTGTTCAAAAAGATTGAAAAGGCGGAAATTCATACCACTTGTATAGGTACAAAGTGAAGGGAGCTCCCTAACACGCCGAGGAGAAGAAAAAACTACTTACAGAAGAGATGACGAAGTTAAGAAGAGCTGTACCTCCTCCAAACACCACAGACAGGGTGGCTGTGACTAGACTTAATACAAGGTTCATGTTTCCCTTCAGTACAATCCACACTGAATCTATAACCTGAAACAATTTTACAAAGTTTACATCTAGGTCATATAAATTATATCACAAACCTCACTACTTACCATAATTGACCTAATTAATGCAGCTGACCCTATAAGTGAACCCTCACCTTTTTTTTTTTTTTGGAAGAGGCTAGGTGTGCTATGTTCAAGTTTGCTTACTTCAGTAATTAATTAATACAATATCCAGTCTTTTAACTCCCTGCCTCCCATATGCCCAGCCAAAATGTACTTTAACTGAAATCATTTTTTTTTAAAAATCTGAAATCGTATTTTCTTCTACTTAAGTTTTATGTCACGATACATTTGACATGGGAATTTTTTTTATAAAATGTATATTTTATGGTTTTGTAAGTGTTCAGTTTGCTTATTACATCAAATACAGTACTTAATTCAGTTGCAATGAAGGAGAAAGGTTATATTTATTCTGTAGTGTACATAATGAGCTCATCAAAACCATCTTGCATTAAGCTGTTCCTCTGAAAATTATGTATACCGCTAATACAACTTGACCATTTTGACATAAAGTGGACTTCAGTCATCTAGATGAAAAGAATATTTAAACATACAGTCACCAGCTAATACCACCACTATAAACCATGAGAAACTTACAGACATAAAGGTTCCTATGTTATCTTTAACAAAGGCAACAATCTGACTGATGTTGAATGCGTCGCCCTTGGATATGACCTCCCACATGGACTTGACACTGTTTATGTCGGTGGGAAGAACATTCAATGCTGACGTGGTCTGTAGACTGCTGCTTGTGTCATTCTAGAATAAAGAAAACACTTAAGTCAATCTTTCAGTTGTACTTTCAATTATCTATTAGAACGAGTTTCTAAATGTTACCACATTATAGTACAGTATATCATTTCCAAGAGTATGTGTCCTGACCTTGCTTTATGCAGAAATTGTGAAACTTTGACATTCAGCCAGTAAGTTTACAAAAGGTTCTGCTGGAACACTCAAACTGTATGTGCCAAATATTCTGCCTCAGCCCCGGTCTGTAATTGGTATTTCTCATGCTGGATCAGCAGATCCACTCTTTTCAACCGTTTACGTGAAAGAAACCCAAATTTTATCAAAATACTTTCATCCAAACATTCGAAAGAATTATTTTAAACTAAACCACTATTTTAAATGTTTAGCCTGCCTCTCTGACTCTAACTGGGCAAGACCCTAGACTTGTATAAATTTGGGTCACTTTCATCCAAAGATATCCCTAACAAACTTTACCACCCATGACCAGCCTTAGTGTACGGACACACATTATGTATACAATATATATGTAAAAAATAAATGGACGTCATCTAAAATCTCATACCATCAGAAAAAAATATTTTCATTAGGTCTGAAGGGTGGCATCCAGTTAAGGATACATGCATACAGCAAGTTTGAATATGACTGGTTAAAACCTGTGGGAAGGGATCTCCAGACAAATACAGGTTAGCAGCAGATGTACAAATATGAAAAATTGTTTAAAACAGCAAATTTGTTCATTATTTTTGCTTACACCCTTTTAACTTCTAAATAGATATTGAAATAAAGCTACAGGACAAAATTATATTGTTTTAAAATTATGAACACCGATCACAAGTGACAAGCATGTTTTCATGGTAACTCACCCTTGAGAGCCAGCTTTCATACAGCCTATCCCACACCTCCAGTACCTGAGCCTCTATCTGAGTGTTGTTAGTACCAGATTTCTGATCCATATTCCCACTCACAAAGTCACGCAGCTGCCAAATAAATAAGTTGCTATATAGCCACTTAGGTTGAAAACATCCTTTTTGGTTTGAGAACCACTACACAGTAAGTCCTAACACCATCACACTAACTACTGGTAAAATGCTTGGTTTATACTGGAAACTGATTTTATTTAATCACTAAAGATGTACTTTTTCATCTTCTGAGAAATCAGTTCCTATTTGGAAACATATATTTAAGATGTTGTCTTCATGTAATATCTCTTGCATGCTAATTACTTGAGGTACATACTAAGAGACACCTTTTATTGTCTGAGTAAAGGGAGTAGAATTTACAATAAGGAGTAGGTACTGACTTTTTACAAAATCTCATTCAATACAAAATTTGTCACAGATGGCTATAAACTTCACAATAATGTATTCAACTATATACTTTGTTCTCATGCATTTCACTGTATAAATAGTTCAAGCTAATTTTGGTTATTATTTCAATTATGTAACTGTATACCAACCCTTGCAGCAATCCAATTGCGTCCATAGAGGTATGCATTCCCTACCATAGAATCCATGGCTTTTTGCAAATCTTCTCCATTGGGGAGCCACCTGAATGAGGTGACATTGTATATATATATATTGGTCTAATAGGTGTGCATCAAGATATTCTAGCATTATATCTGCAATACAGTTGTCATCAGTAACTCTGAGAATTAGGTGGAAACCATGGTTATTAGATGTATTGATGAATACACCTTAGACATATTCTTACAGGCATATGATAGATAAAGGTTAAAATCTATGCTACCAGAAAAAAGAAACGCTCAAGTTCATTTTCGATATTTATTATTAAACATGATTCATTGATGATAAGTTCATTGTTTGAGTTCCTTGATTATTTCATCACTATTAAATACATTTTGACGATTTTTTTTCCTATCACAGACAGCGTTTGTGTGAATAATATTAAAACAAGGGTACTCTACACCCTTTCCTGATTCAAATCAGTAGCGTGTGTGCCCAACCCTAGCTTCTCTTACTCTCCTTATTGGTAATTGCCCTTTAAGGGATATTATTTAACTCCTGAATAAGAGCCTGGGTGAGTTGAGTGGGTTATATGGGAAGTTCTTATTCCTCCTGTTCAGCTTGTCCCACAAATGCTTGATTGGGGACAAATCTGGACTGTGTGGTGGTCAATCAAGAACTGGGATGTTGTTTTGAGCCAGAAAATCATGACAAACCTGAGTAACATGGGGCCATGCACTGCCCTTCTGCAATGTAAGGTTACATTGATGGATAAGAGAAAGGACATTTAGTCTCAAGACCTCATCCCGATATTTTATTGCTTTAAGATTTCCATGGATAACCATGAGAGGTGTTTTCATGCCTTGAAATATCCCTGTCCATACCATAACTCCTGCAACCGATTCCTAACAGTTCTTGGACACACCGGCCGACCATTAGTGTAGACAACTTGGTGTGCGGTCTCTGTTGCTGTCTGAAATCAGTTACAGAGGTGCAAGAGATATATGCCTCTATCTCGATGTTGCAACGTACCGTGCAGGCGTCAGCTACTGAGACGGTCACCCAATGTCCCAGTGGCTCTGAGATGCCAAACTAAATGGGATATTGTTGTCTCATGTACACTATGTTGCTAGGCTACATGACATTGCAAATGCCTATACATTATCAGAGCAATGGCCCTACCCCTTTCGACTCAATCATGGCATTTTGCTCTACAATCGCTTCAAAAAGAAATGTTGTGTATCTGATCTGTACTGTTCCAATGTTCAATTTCTAATGATTTACCAGCACATATCTTCTTGAAAAATCTGCTGAAAGCATGCAGCGTTGAGCAGTCACGGTCGGCTGAATTTTAACTGAAGAACATTTTCAGTGTACGGAGGTAGCTCAGTGTCAAATTTAATTAAATTTTGTTCATGTGTCTAAAGTTATATTATAAAATCTAAAATTGTCTTTCTTTTTTCTGCTAGTATAATTTTCAAATTATATTTTTCAATTTTCAAAAATTCTAAAATTACAAATCCTTCAGGACTTTTTCAAAAAGTACAATGTGTTTAGTTATGATGTATTTACGGTAGAATACTTTCAGCCTCCAGCTCAATCACAACTGTATGGGTATACTTACGAGTTGATTTCTGAGTTGAGAGTATTATTCATCACTTCACTGGTCATTTTCACAAACAGCATACTTTCTTGTTGTATCTGATAAATAAGTAAAGAGGTTACCAGATTTATGTTACAACATTTGCCAAATATGAAAATATTTAAAAAACATTTCAAGACTGAATAGTAGTCTGTGATTTATTCACATTTTAAAATGTTGCAACATTTTCCATTAAAAAGTAAAAAACAAAAAAAACAAAAAAAAATAACAAAGAAATAATGAGATATTCCATAGAATATAGTATATCACATTTCTTAACTTTAATGGGACAATTTAGAAAAGTATGTGCCATTTGTGTCAGGACTCATAGATAGATTAATCACAGGTAGTACATGAAGTCAAACTAGAAAATAAAAGGTGTAAAGGACCTTGCTCTAATGTGTATAATTACTTGTATCATTGTTTTATGCTGAAGTTGTGAAAAGTGACCTCTGACCCTTTGACAGACAACCTTAATATATAGGGTGTAGAACATGGTATTATGATACTATGGAGTAAACCTGCAGAACACTATGGATGAAACTAATGGACATGGGTAACAATGACAGCCATTTGAAATTCACTACAATGTCAAAGCATCTTTGATATCCCTTAAATCCATGATACATTAATAAATGCTCTACCTTTTGTTCACTTTCTGTACTTCAAAATAAAACATTAGAGATCTTATCCGATGGAACCATATCATCTACAGAAAATTAAAACTTTTATTTTTATTTTTTCTGTGTCTTTACACTTCTCATACAATATTCCTTGTTTGCCTTATCTGTCTGTGGCTTCTTTTGATTTTACAGTTTATTATCGATAACTCTATCCTTTTGTTTTTACTTTATAAAATGTGTAATAATAGTTTCTGAATGATTCTGATATAAAAGAAATACAAACAGATACAATATAAGTTGCACTATGATTAAACTTAACATGTTTCATACCTGTATAGCACCGATGATGGCCAGGATGGCTGTCCCAAACAACAGCAATAGGATAAAAAGGACACTGGTTGTCTTGTCCAGGGACTGCTCCAACACTGACACAATCTGTATAAATATGACAAGAGCTACAGGAAATATTGGGTTTGAATTGTCTATATAATTAAAACAAGGGCTACCAGATTCTAGCAACAACCATGACACAATCAGCACCACAAGAACAAGCTAATTCATGTATTTGAAAATTGGTGAGAAATAAACATACACCAGGTTCTTGGAATCCAGTCAATAGAGCACTATTGCATGAAGATGGTAATGTAGACTATACATGTGAAATGCCAGTCTCCAGAAATTTTGTCACATGAATTACCTCAAATCTGTGTGAAAGAAAGTGAAAAAGGACACTTAATTTTCTTCAGTAATTTCCCTCTTGTTTCTTTTGTATCAAAACTGCTTATTTGGAACTCTTAAGACTAAGATTATCATACAGAAAATACAGTGCAACTTCCCAAAACCAATCCTTCTCAAAACTGACCACCTCATGTATGGAATGATGTCCTCTTTATTAGGGAAATAAAAACCTTCCCAATACCAACTCCTCTCAATACTGAACTGAATTTGTGTCCAAAATGTCTGTACTGAAAATAACTTCTGAAAAACGGCCTTATAACCAAGCCTTTTCTATACTTCTACTAACCCAACCCTTCCTCAACCTGCCAAATACTCAAGTCCCTTCAATAGTCGGGATAGAGAAGTTCCACTGTACATTCCAGATATATGTAAAGCATTTTTTATTAAGCTGCTCAATTAACTTGTCCACCAAGAAAAACCAACTCCAATCAATCAACAGATCCCCTTCTCCAGAGTCAAGCGATCCTTTTTGTCACTCAGTCATGGAAACATTTTCTCCACTCAGTAAAATGTATCTCTTTTCCATTTACAACTATGTTACACAGTCAAGTGAAGCCCTAATCTACCAGGTAGACAGAACTTCTACTCCACTGCTATAAAGCCTTACCTTATGGTCACCTCGTAGAACCAGTTTAGGTAGTCCCCTGATCCACCTTGGTGCCAGGACATCACGCCTACTGATCAGCCATCTCTTCAGTGCAGCCTTCACCAACTCCACTTTCTCACCAAATATTCCCCCACTGCCAAGCTGTATCACTGAATACATCAACAAGAAATCTATCATCACATCCTTTCAAACTCCCAATTTTGGCCAAAACACTGATGAAAAAAAAAATTATTGGTACAAATACATCTGGTATCAATTATTACACTTACACAAAGAAGTACTTGGTTAGACTTGCAAAATCTTAAATGAAATGTCTTGCATAAAATTGAAGGAGCAAAAACAAACTGATATGTTATGAGTGATTTTCATAATGACTTGAAAGCCATACATATCTGTCATGATGCTTCAAAACACACTATGATAGCTTCTTACAAAAAGTTTTGAACAGCCACATAACAAGTCCTATAGGGAAAAGCAACTGGATGATCCAGATGTTGAGCCATATCCTTGTAAGCACCAAGAGCCAGAAGAGGTAGATAAAGCAATTGTCAATAAGTGATCGTGTTTTTTCTTCAGACTTCTCTTCCAAGATTTCTGCAGGTTCTTTCATTTGTAGTTTGGGACGATCTCTCTTCTGTGGTGAAGAAACTGATGATACTGTGGGGCTCCTAACTGGTAATGATGATGGCTTTTTGACATCACTGGAACTTTTTGTCTCTTCTAGAAAAAAAACAAACTTTTGAACCGTTATCATACTACAAAACTAGAAAATATGATCACACAATCACTTAAACTTCTATGGAAATGAGAATCTGATCAAGAAAAGAACTTAGTAGTATGATATTATTGGGTAAATATGAACCAAATTTTATGAGGTTTCCGAGATACTCTATGACATAGATTTGGAACGGAAGGCAAAAGGAGGGTATGGGTAACACTATATTAACCCCTCGTAAAAAAACCAGGGTCAAGATAAGCAGGATAGGTCTACTGATAGATATCTGGTTTAAGTAGCCATTGCTTTCATGAGCTCCACAGCACACCATTTGGCATTTTACTTTTTATGACAGGTATGTATTCTGATCCAACAAGATCTTGGTATAGGCCAGGGTTTCCAAGGACAAGAAATGGTAGATCTTATGATATGAAAGTGATAAATACTTTTATTTCATTTATTCATTTACAGTAGTTTTATGTCTGATATAACAGCTTTTCAACCTTTCAGCAGGCAACAATTAAATATGTTTATACTTGTAGGTGTATATATATATATGTAAATTCATTTTGCTGCCAAGAAACAATCCTCTACCTGTTTCATCTTCATGAGATTCCGTTTCTGTTGTATTAATGCTTTGGTCATCGACTTTCTCCTCGTTCTCCTTCTCTGTCGCAGACGAGGACTGGTCACTCTCTGAGTCACCTGCCAGAATGATCCATGCAGCTTCTACAGGTGTTGGTGGCACAGATTTTCCTGTAAAATATTCAAAATATCAGCACCTGTAATACAAGTTACATTACAATTGTAAAATTGTTAATACATACATTAGTATAATGATTGATGTATGTATATAACAAAGTGATTGGTGATATATTAACTCTGCTATATCAGGAAGAGAAAACAAGTCCACCCCTTCCTGCATGGTTGTAAAAGTAATCTATACATAGAAGATCTCTTGGACATTTGAATTTTTCAATGTCCTTTTCTTGGAGCTATGAAAACAACTATGTAATACAACTGTTGCATCCACTGCAGAAATTTAACTTAATGCTTTCTCCCATTCCAACTGATTATTTCCCTACTTCAATTTCAACTTTTTTGTCAAGAGATTTTTTCCTTGGAAACATTGTTAGTACTGCTCTTTACTTGATACCAGTAGTGGACTTTAAACCAATCACAGTTTAAGACTATCTAACTCAATTTCAGTAAAATGTGATGAAGTCCAGTATCATAAGACTGTTCCCAGGTTAAGGCATTCAGTGTAGTAACAACCTCTCCATAGAAACGCTGTTATGAGGATGAAAACCTCATGCAAATAAACATTTTTCAATCATTAAACATTTATTCCAATTGAGGCACTAGCAGGATCACCTAGCAACATGTAGAAATCAACGTCACTTCACATGATATCAAATGTTTCAAACATCCCAAAATATCCCAAACTAAATCTAGTAAGTCTGCTTAAATCTAATACACTGTATGTTGTTTTTCTTTTGAAGAGCCACCATATTTCAATTCAAAACTACAGAAGTGAAATTATCATGCTATATGTACAACATGGTTTTTTGAAATTCTAAGTACTAGTAGAGACTCATGTGTCATTCTTAGTGATATTTTTTCTATCAAACTCCTAAGTACTAGCAAAAGTTTAAACTAAACAAGAATTTAAAACAAAAACACAATAAAATTTCATGTATACTTCCTATTTAACGAAATGTAAATATTCCACTAGTGACAGGAAATCCTTCATTAATCATTCAAATATTACTTATTTCTTTCAATCACCTGTGCATTGGCCTTCAATTTAGATAAAACAGTTTGGATGGTGAAGATATATGCAAAGATGTTATCAGATCTGTGACAAACAAACCTTCTGCTAGCCTTGCTTCGTTTATTTCTGCCACAAAACCAAAGACAATGACTACCACAAGGAAAATTAAGAGTGGGACTCGGAGATATCCAGCTGCAGTAGCTATGTGGAGAGTGAGAACAATCCAGACAGGGATGGACAGATATCGAAGATAACGCTTGGTGTCTGGAGACCATAAGAAAACCACAGCTAACAGGTACCCTACCAATAAGGTCCATATCTGTGAAAGGAAATTATTAAAGCATTACAATCTTCAGATTACAGGTTGACAAAACATCTATTAATATGCATATGATTCAAAGCAGGAAATTGACTCTTGCCAGTTTCCAAATACTGGTATCTACATTGGAGATGTTCTTGCACTAAGCTAGAGAACAGTTAAGTTTTAAAGAAACAATTGTAATAAAACCAAAATCAATACTGTTGTGTCTTTTCTTCTAATTTAAGACCATGAGTCACTAAACTTAATCATCAGGGACACCTTGTAACAATACTGATTGTTAACATAAAGTTATATAAAAAATAATACATTAAAACTTTTGCATGTTTAATGAAAAACTGAACATCTCTGATATTCAAGAAACAAAGTACTACTAATTTAATACCAAATTAGTAAAGACGAAGAATCCACAAAGATCTTGGCACCAATTATTGTATGATCACTAATGGTTGTTGGAGATATAGATATATTGAGAGGTGAATTAATAATAATACGATATATAAAAATATAAATATATATGTCCTGTCAGGTGACCTTGGCAGTATATTTCAGTGGGATAGCACTATAAAATTGGTTTCTGTTACATAACATCAGATGAAGGCTTACACGAACATTTTGCAGTCTTCCAAAAACACCATTCTTACCATGTTTACACTGGGAGACCATTATATAATTACTGTAGCTACTTATAGCATTTTAAACAAAAAGGAACCAAACCAACCCCTTCCACAAATAAGCCTACACCCCACTTTTCTATATCTTCAAGGCCATTTTGTTTATCTGATCAAACAAGTTTTCAAAATCAAAGGAGATAATACCACAGACAATTACTAAAGAGCTTCAGGAGGTCAATTAAATGTGTGTGGTATATCGAGGATTTTTCATCTATACAACTGATGAAAAGTTTCCAGTGATCTCTGTGGGATACATGCACAAGTACAAGCCACAGATTGCAATGTACAGGTAATGCCACATGTATATCTTGTACTGTCTGCAGACTAAATACAATGTATCTCTACATGTACTTACATTAAAAAACACAGTATACAATGTAAGTGTTGCCACACCTATAAGTCAGTTGTTGGAAATAATACAGATCCAAATTTACCTACAGGATTTCCCTATAAAATCATATGCTGCCAGTTCATGATCACTGACTTATTTATACAAGTGATATCAAAATGATAAAAAACATGGAATGGAGTTTGTATTTCTGATAAGATAGTATTTTGTTTGGCAAAAATTCAAAAACAAACATTGAATGTATGACTAATGCCAATATACCGCATAATTCTGACACGAACGCATAAAACTTAGATCTACACTGCAGTAAGAATGCGTCGTCTGCTACGTGTAAGCCTTTCGAAGTGGTAACACATGTACATTATAATACTGCGGTTACAAAGTAAATCCTTACATACATGAAAATCAATAAACACTTTATATGCTTACCCAAAATGATGTAAAATATCCAAGAACGTCATAAATGAAGTAAAAAACAGATCGAAACGCAAACAATATGTTCTTCGCTGGGCCGAAATGCCACAGCAGATACGTAAAAATAATCCCTGCGAAGCCGCCTAAAATTAAGCGTATATGTTTCACGAATACGTTAAACACATTCCCATAGACCCTGTCTATCGCTTTGACAGGGATAAAAGCTACACCTATAACGATAGGTGTATTTGTCTTCTGTAGTCCGTGTAACCACCTACGTAGCCAACTGGTCAGCGAACGTTTCACTGGATACAAGAAAGTTCCACACAAAACTGCCCATAGTAGCGGTCTTAAAAACACTTCCAAGATAAAATACACTGCTACTGCAGCTCCAACTGCGAACAGAACAAATAAATTTGCTGCTGTGGTATAGATTGCTTGTTTAAATGCTTTCTCGTGTCCTTGTGGTAGATTATTCAAAACATTATTAAAGGGAGACCGAAAATCCAGGGAAGGAGAAGCCATAGTTTTCGTCGGAAGTGACGTTCTGCGCTAAAGTCACTCGGGGTCTCTCTAGTTTTATCATAACTTTTACTTTCACTTTACCAAATGAAAACGTAATCTTGAATATGATTACGTGTCTCTGTATGAAGTAATGTTTATTTTAAATTATTGATATGAATAAAAGTTTGCTTTATCTGTTTAATTTTGGATAATTTTGATTTGTGTGCTGACAAAGAGTACGTATTTTATCGTGTACGAACAATACATACGTTATGGTGTCCCTGTTTAATGTACGTAAAGGTGAATGTTACTGGTTTGTTAGGATTTTTTCGAAACAGCATGATATTTATTTCTCATTAAAGTTTTTTAAAAAATAAAGAAAGAAAAGAAAAACATGAACGGCTCTATGAAAATGAAGAAACGATTTACTCCGTATTTCGGGCTGGTATACATAACATAGGATTTCGTACCAAAAATATTTAAGGTACATAGATCAACCATCAATTTTAGTTATCTACGTCCCTGATTTCAGATTGTTTTTTTTATGTTAAAACAACCATGCTTTTAGTTGTTCTTTGATGTTGAACAAATAATCAAATCCAGTTAGGACAGTGTTATAAAAGGCAGCAAGGAAACCCACAGATACCTTATAAATGATATATATTATATTTATAAGAATGTAAACATTTCAATATCATATGTATACCTATATATAATTCTGATCCAAACCAGGTCATGTGTCATGTGTGAGGAAAACTTTAAATAAACCATACGTATTTTTTTCATTGTTATCATTTTTGTTTGCTTTGGTTTGTTTGTTTTTCTTCTTCTTCTATTTTGATTTTGTTTATGTTTTTTTATTTATTTTTTGTGTTTTCTCCCCTTTTATTGTAATTTTTAATTCTTTTAAGACATTTTACTATTTTATAGTCAAGCGCTTATAGACATGATGGAAATACGGAGAGGAAATGTGTTCTAATTACTTTTTCCATGTTGTGTCGACATTGGGACATCCTCCTTGATCCGTCGCTAGAGCACATCTGTGGAAACTAATAGTCGCACGAGGTCTTCCTTTCAGAGCTTGAATGAGATCTTTTGTACAATCTTTGACATTGCAGTTGGTAGACAGTAAAGGTAAAACTCCAAGGGAAAATTACAAAGTCTAAGCTCACCTCCCAATCTAGATATCTGGATCAATTGAAAACAGTAGTATGGAGCAGTTTTATCAATTATTTGGCGTTACTGAATTTACTTACAGCGTAGTAAATATGTATTGAAAGGTGATATTCATTTATGTGTTTTAATACAGTCTTCAATGCAGATGTTTCTTTAATGCGTAAGCGTATAAAGTCCACACTCCTTTTCATTGGCACCCGCTTTAACAACTTTTTAGGCTGATGCCCATGCTCTTTCACATTCAGTGTAATATTTTTCGGTATGGTTTCAACCTTGTCTCTTACGTTCAGAGCGTTGAACAGTAGTGTCGAACAGTAATCGTATTTCAGAACTTTTGAGAGGGATGATACTCATTAAGATGAAATGTTTCGTACCAGAATGTTTTGTTGTTCCAACCCCTGAGTTCTGCTTAAACGTTACAATTATCTCAGTACCCAAACTTAAGTGTTCCAGTCCTCTAATTTTGTCTTTAGTGCTAATGCATGGGTGTGAGCACAAGCACAAAAGTTGATATTGACCACGAGTACGGTTTTGTGAATACGTGGCCAGGTGATGAGTATCATGCGATCATGGCCACCAGCGTTCTGTATTATTTAGACAAGACATCACCAATATAGGCCTTTAGTCAATACTATTCATGAAATACACACGTTATTAGAGCTTTCATAACCAGAGAGTGATGGCATTTCATTACTTTGGCATGAAGTAGCGCAATGCATTATGGACCTTGTGTCTATGTCAAATTGAAATAACCAACAGTAAACATAGATGCTTTGTTTGTTTTTTAATGCTTTCAAAATAAGTATCGAAAAATAGGAAGGACCGCCATAAGCATAGCGAATCATAATCACATAAATATTCATTTTTGTTTTTAGCTTTAAATCTACTTTCGTTTTGGGTCAGGCCTAACTTAACCATAAATCCACTTGCACTAGCAAACCGAAACCCGGCTCGGAAAAATGTATAAATCATTTATAATTTTTTTTTTAAATGAGACTATTTTATCACCATCAAACCACCAGTTTGCTAAGATGAATTTGATATGCTAGTATCAATTAAATCTAAAATGATTGTAAAAAACAAACAAACAAAAAACTTTGTTACCGTCGAAATTTCCCGCCGTTAGAATGTTATGCATTCGGAAATTGACTTTGTCTACTCGGCATACATCTGAGGTATGCACGTGCAGGTACTAAAATGGCATAGAAAGAAGACGTTGGATACGGCACAAAGAGGTTAGTTCCTAACACATAGGCCTGGGTAAATTCATTGTGGCAAGCGCAGTTTTAATGTCATCTCAAGGCCTTGGCCTAATAGGTAATTATAGTAACCTCAGGACTGTCTTCTCAAGCAATACATAATGATGGAAAGTCAGAAATCACGCATCGAAGCGGTTAAAAATAACCTCCACATCAAACATTTGTCCGTAGATTTAGAATTTTATCTATGGAGCCATGACACAAAACATCTGTCCGTCAAAATGTAGATAGGTCTGTCTTATGTATGCCTTGAGGATATTTAATGACACAAAAATATAGCCGTTTCTTAATCCCTGAAATACTTTTGTTAGAGATAGTACCGTGAAGGAGGCCTACCTCCAGGTTTACTGCACAGCACGAGGGAACTTTCTCATTTTTTGTTGTTGTATCGATTGTGTGATTTGTTCTTTATGATTTTTCAGCCACAAAAGAAAACGAAACTGAAAAATAAGTGGCATATATATATCTGAATGCCTCTGATGGAAAATACTCCAGAGGTTCAAATATGGAAATTAAATCCCTTGCCCACATCACAGAACATGACCGTTTTCCAAGTAAGGCCACATGTCAAGCCTCCAAAATTGCAATATATGTTGAAAGACATTCCTAATGTGAATTCAAATGAAAAACACCAGGTGGAACACAGACATACCACTCAGATTCTATTAAATGATTCTGAAAGTCTCTGCAATGTTTTAAGCGGTGCCAAGTCAGTGGGACAACAGATCAAACAAAATGGAAATGGGAAGGTTGCTAAAGCTGAGCAAATAGGGAACACATCCATGGGATTTAGTAAAAAAGCTCAGTCTGGAAATTTCCAAGATCAGAATATTTTTGACCAAAATGGAAATATAAAAAGCGTTTCCAATGATTTGAAGGGTTATAAAGGTAAGATATTTCCATCGACAGGACATGTAAATGAAACAATTTACAGTGACCAAAAAATCATTTGCAGTGCATGAAGGTTGCCAGGTATACACACTCTCAAAGATAAGTGTTTTGGACAAAAGGTTGGATTGGAGTGTTTCATGGGAGGTGAAAGTTGAGATATTGATTGTAAATGATGGGTGGATGTTGGTAAGTTGTTGGAACTGGAAATGCAGATAATTGTTGTGAGGATGGATTGTGGGAAGTCAAAAATGGAGATGTGGGTCATTGTTATAGATTTATGTATTGGAAGGGGCTTATGTTCACTACAGAGTCTTTCAGCCTTTCAGCAGACAAAATGTTTTTGTGTGGAATGTAGAAGTTAAAATGGTAATGTGGATCATTGATATGGAGTGGATTGTGTTAAGAAAAGGCTGACATGTGGATAATGGAGCCTGTAAAATGGATTGTGTGAAGTCAAAGTGGACATATGGATTGTCTTGGATTGGAGTGTCAGAAGTCAAGGTAGAGTTCGGGACTTGGTTGTAGAAAGTCAAAAGTTGAAATGTGGATCATCAGTTTGGTGTGGATTTGGATAAATAAGAGTAGAGAGAGATATTTAGATATCTCTCTATAACTTGTGTATCTTGTGAACAGAAAATATGTAAGTTGTTCATTGATATTAGAAGATTAAAGAATGCACAAAGATCAAATAGAGCTGCATGTTGTATGGTGTTAGTAAATATACATGTGTTTTATACATGTACACTAATTGTACTGATGACCATACATATACACAAATTGTACTAACTGATGACCACACATATACAATAATTGTACTAACTGATGACCACACATATACACTAATTGTACTAACTGATGACCACACATATACACAAATTGTACTATCTGATGACCACACATATACACTAATTGTACTAACTGATGACCACACATATACACTAATTGTACTAACTGATGACCACACATATACACAAATTGTACTAACTGATGACCACACATATACACTAATTGTACTAACTGATGACCACACATATACACTAATTGTACTAACTGATGACCATACATATACACTAATCGTACTAACTGATGACCACACATATACACTAATTGTACTAACTGATTACCATACATGTACACTAATTGTACTTACTGATGACCACACATATACACTAATTGTACTAACTGATGACCACACATATACACTAATTGTACTAACTGATTACCATACATGTACACTAATTGTACTAACTGATGACCAGTATGCTAAGCTGGCGTCTATGTAATCATTCAGATAGTTGATAGTCTTTCTCTTGTGATTTTGAAATATTCCAAATTTGATTTGATAGAGCAAAATGAAAACACAGGGGAACAATATATAAAAAATATTTGCAGAAAAATATACATATATATCAGCAAAACAAAATTATCATTTGTCAATAAAAATGGGAAAGAGTAAAATGTGAGAAATATTAATAATTTGATGTCTTTATTTTCAGTGCCACTGATTTCAAAGAGCAGTTCTGAGGAGCAGAGCCTTGGAAAATGTTAGATGGTTGGCCCAGTTATATGTAGAAGCAGCACAGAAAGTTGTCATGGGGACAGCATTCCAAGGATGAAGGACCAGATTAGAGTTCAGTCAATGACTGGAGACTGTGATCCTTGTAAAGTAAGATTTCACATGGAACAGGAGAGTGA